GCCTCCCAGACCTTCCGGGCTGCTGGGCAATTTGCACAAGTGCACGTACCGTCCGTGAGGAACCGAAAGTGCGTGGAGCTCCAGGTAGGAGGAGGCCCGGCCGCTTTCAGTGAGGAGGGGAACAGGACACCTTCAGGAAGCACATTCCTTCTTGGGGTTGCCTAACGTGCAGCTGCCTCATTACAGCTCCAGAGAATCGTGGTTCTGTCCGCTTTGTCAGCTCCCGGAGACATTTGAGGGCTGCCGCGTAGACCAAGCGGGGCGCTGTGTCGTGGAAGATACCAGCTTTTCAAAAGCTGCTGCTGCTCTCAAAATGTGCTCCTGATGCTTTGCAGACGGAGGCTGTTGGAGCGTCCCCGTGTCTTCTACGCCAGAGCGACGAGGCGGCTCCATTGCTGGGGGTCGAGAAAACCGAGAGGATCTCTGCCTTCTTTCAGGACAGGCTCATGGGATGTGGGCGAAACGAAACAAATCCGGAGAGCCGGTCCCGGGTGGGCAGCCTGCGTGGTGGTGAACCGGCGCCGTGAAGCCACACGTCGGTCCCAGTGGGATCTGTCCTGACGGGCGAGCCTGGGGCCTTAGGTCACGTGTCTTAGAAAGACCTTGGTCTCCATTTCCAGATGTCTCTTAATGCTCACATCCTGGTAGTTCCGGAATGGGACGGGAGAGCTGCTCGGGAACAGCCCGTTCTCTGTGACAGGTCGGTCGGACTTTCGCCGCTCCGCCACAGCAGGTGTCCGAACTAAGCATCCAGCACCTCCGCAGAGTGTCTCCTTGATGTACAAATCCTGCTTTAACCTAATTTTAAAACCCAGAGGCCACCGTACCTGAGTCATAGCTGCGATGGACTGTGTCCCCCAAGTTCATATGTTGAAGCCCTGACCCCCCGTGTGGCTGGTATATACAGATGGGGCCTGTGCGGAAGTAATTCAGGTTAACGAGCTCACTTCCTGCCTGCCCTTGCCACTGAGAAAAGAGGAAAGGTGGCTTGAGGACACAGCAAAGCCAGGACGAGAGCCCTCCCCGGAAGGCAGATCACTGACACCTTGATCTTGGACGTGGCCTCTGGGATCGTGAGAAGTCAACGGTCGAGCCCCCCAGCCGGCGGCGTTCCGTCCGGCCGCCTGAGCGGGGTCCCCAGCCACGGAGGTCTGCTGAAGGCCAGTCTCCTCTCCTGGGGAGGAAAGGAACGTGAGGTCCAGTCCTCTACCTCTCGGTGGCTACCTCTCCTCTGCTTACCGTGCGGACAGCATGACTGCGCCACGTGAGCCAGAGCACGTGATTCTTCGGAGATTCTCCGCCCGGTGGGTGTCGGTGAGGCAGCCCTGCTCTGTTCTGTGACGGGTTCTCCCGAATGTAAGTTGGTAGCGACCACGTTGTTTTGCTGAAGCCTAGGAAACCAAAAATAAAAGTCGAGAAATAGGACTGTAGAGAGAGGAGATGATTACTCCCATATTTGGTCTGTGATTTTTTTTTTAAACTAGAAGAACGTCTAGTTACTTAGATTTAGGAATCTCGACACTGGTTGGGACTTCCTTCTCTGTGACAGGCCCTAGTGAATTGATTGCTCTGCTTAAAGGTATTCAGACAGACTCT